GGGGGGCCTCCTCAAAAATATTTTCAAAATTTCAAAAAATCTATTTGCAGTTTGAATTAATTTTGTCATGGATAATTATCGAATAGATACAGCCTTCCTTCTTCTTTCCTCCCGTTTTTTTCCTCCTTTTTTCGGGCGAACGGGAGGGGGGGGGGCAAACGTTCCCTACGTCCCCTCTGAATCCGCCGGTGATACATGCCTTTTTCAGCCTCTTTGTCTTTCTTTCTTAAAAGCTCATAGGTTGGTTTTCTTTCTGTTACAGGGTATAGTTTGGGGGCGGGCCTTCAAACTGACCGGTGACCTGGCGCTTCACTACCTCAACGACCGAGAGTGCAAACTCGGTGGATACACGACCCTCCATCTCGACTTCTACCCCAAGCCAGACGCACTCCTATCGGATTCAACAGACTCCATTTCAACATCAACGTCCACGTCATCTGCGTCTAGTTCCACGTCATCAGAAATCTCCGCGTCAGATTCTTCGTCAACAGGGTTCAGTTCTGCGACGACGGAGCTTTCGACGTCAAATTCAACGACAGCACACTCTACGCCTAGTTCAACCGAGGGCTCTGAAACAACAGCGATCTCTGTATTAAATTCCTCATCGAGTTCGAAGCCGTTCAAAGCACTAGTCTTTATTGCCACGCCGGCCAACGATCTGTGGCTCGGCGAGGCACCCCTCAATGACATTGCCGACCATATCGTCGGCTGCAAAGGCCAAAGCGGTTACAACGTAGAATACGTTTTGAGGTGAGTTAGGTTTTTATTCCATTTGGTTAGATAAGAGACTAATGATTCTCTTTCTGAGTGTAGTGTTTTCCTGATGAGTGTATAGGCACGACATCAAACATTCGTACGAAAAATATATCCATCTGTATATAACAAAGGTATAAAATGGTGCTGGGTTTATATTATTTTGCGAGAAGACATAAAATTCCAAAAATTTCGATTAAAGTCAAAAATTTGAGCTCTGATGAGTAAGTAAAAGTACAGCTCAGGCAGATGTCTGCCTGATGAGTACTTTGTTGGGGTCACGCCTAGAAGAGATCTGTAGACCCTCGTGCAATCCCCGAAAAAAAGAGAAGATCTAGCACTATTTTACTACCTTCTTACATACAATTTGGGCCACATTTATGGTTTTTTCTCATATATGTATATCTAAATCCATTGATAAAGCATCATCAGATAATGCCTCTGGAATTTATAAACTAGAAATTTCATTATCATTCTGCAAGGCCCTCATTGGTATGACGTTAAGCATCCAGTTTTTAAAATGAATAAACGAAAAATCTTGCACCTCAACGCTTGTGGTATTATGTTTCGTTCAGTGTATGTACATGCGCTGTATAGTGTACATCTATTTATAACACATTAAATGCGTTACTCCAGTTATCTAGTTTTTCTGTTTCTCTTTCGTTTTTTGTAAAGAAAAAATACTCTGCGTGAAAATCTATTTGATTCCGGAATGGTTATAGTGGGTTTGAATCCCACAGGTTTCATCATTCTCTGACTATATTTTCTCAGAATTATATGTGTAAAAACAAAAATTCAAAAGCTCATATGAGTTCTTGCAAATAACTTTGACTTCTAAGGACGAAAGTCTTTACCCATTTTTAGAGGGGTGGCGAGTTCATAGATTTTACACGGAGAAAAAAATTTTGTGCACGGGACCCGAAGTTGAGGTCATATGGATCCCTGAAGTTTTCGGATCACGTATCTAAAAACTTGAGGTCGAGCTGCCGAAGTTCGGGCCAGAAATCAAGGCACCTCGGTATGTACCGGAGTACTTTCAGATGTGTGACCCGAACCCTTCGGTATATATCGAAGTACCTCAGATGTCTGACCCGAACTTCGACAGCTGGACCTCAAGTTTTTAGATACGTGATCCGAAAACTTCAGAGATCCATATGACCTTAACTGGGTCCCACGCACGAAGTATTTTTCTCCGCGTACGATTTGCGCGCTTCATTAAATGATATCCTTCACTTTGTTTCCAGGTTGGCACACTTCATGCACGAGCACATCCCAGAGGCGAAAGACAACCACCTGTTCACCCTGGAGTACCTGCTCCTGAACAAGATCGAGGCAGCCAACCTGTGCCTGAACGAGATGATGGGCACCAAAGCCACCGCCGGGAGCGCCGGCTCATCCCGAGGGACCACCGACACCGCCCTCCCGGCGCCGCCTCAGGCTAGCTACCAGTTCTCAGCCCGGGTCCCCTCCAAAAAGCTCCGCTGCCTCAATATTTGAGTCTTGGTCTTCCCTGGGGGCTGAACTCCAGGACTCTTCACCGGCTAAAAGCTTCGTAGAAGCTTCAAGCTCCATGCTGCTTGGCCAACGAGTGCCTTCGGCCTCATCGCCTCCGCGGAAGTCCAAAGAGCTTTCTTGCGGGTCGAGAAAGTTCTACATCCATATTCGTCTCGTTGCATTCGTTACAGGGATCAATCTTTCAAAAATCGTCTCCAGCACCACTCGAGAGATGAAAAACCCGCATTCAAATTTTCGGTCATAGTTGCACCTTTCACAGAATCGTATAATGGTTGAATTCCAATAGCGATCCGTCCAAACTCTATACCACGATGAAGTGATTTGATTAACATGGTGATTGACAGCATCTGGTGCATACCGTGGTTCCTTTCTGCCGTGCTAAGAAAAAACGCCGTTCGAACCTTCGTCAGTTGCCAAATTTCCTTCGATCAAATACGAATTTCCAGGAAAACGTGTGAATATTTTCCGTTCAATTTTTTAGAAAATGTTCTTTTAATTTGATATATATCATCTAAAAATTTGAAGAGAAAATATTCATAACTCCCCTCAAAAATAAATATTTTATTGAAGAAAATATGGCAATTCTCAATTGTTCTTATGGCGTTTTTCCTGAGGGAGTGGACCCTGGATTGACAATTTTATCACGAGGTCGAAAAAACCATGACATGCACAGCAAGCTGACATCCATCATACATCGTGTTTTTCGATAAGCTTATTCTGGTTATATCAAACGTAGAAATTTGAAACCCTAGCAGATCTTATTGGGTTTGATTTTTAAGATTCAAGCATCTAAAATTTTATGAATAGCGCTATTGACTCATTGATGATCCATCGGTAGGCAAAGTCCGAAATTCCGCACAGTTCTTTCACGTAACGTATACAACGTAATTAATAGTCCAACTGTGGGTCAATGTAATTTTGCAGCATCAATTTAAAAGAAACATAAGAACACTGCAAAACTTTATAATTTTTATTCATAATTACTGTAAAACCGCTGAATTCCTATATCACGAAGATATTAATGCACATGATTATCATTGGATCCCTTTCGCTTTTACTTTCCCGTTTGAAATGTTCGCAATTTTTAAAATTGAACCATGGAAGATTCCTGCTCAGAAAATTATGAAGCGGATTTGTTACGATCTAATTTTAAATATTCTCGAAAATTGTAAAGGTGTTCTTGAAATGTGTCGATTTTTTGGGAGCCCCTTGGTTGGAAATGTTGTATCATGTATTTTAGAAGATAATTGACATCTGATGAGCACAGAAGGACAATGCAAACGACGCTGTTTGACGCTGTTCAAATGAAATAATATTTTCTTAAAATATTTTTTTTTAAACAACGGTACATGAGACCTTTGACTTAGCAGGATTTTTACTTTCATCCATCACATTAAGGATTGACTACGCTAAAATACCTATTTTATTGAAAGCTAAGGATCCGTAAAAAACATAAACTTCTCAAAGAAGAAGACTGAAGTGGCATCGTCTATTTTCCTTCTTAGCATGAGCTGTGATTAAAAACATTAAATAAAAATGGAAGAATTTGTCAATCTGAGGATATGTACTCATAATGACTAGAACCCGTCTAAATAAGCCCAGCTAAAAATGTATCTCATACAAGTATTCAAATCTTTTGCATCCAGAGCATACAATTCTTTTTGTCCAACTGACTCAATAATAGGCCGAAAAAAGCAATTTCTGCTTGTAAAATAACGATGATTCTCGCTGAATTCCTCCCAGCACTTCGAAGTGCCGCAAACCTCCTCTACATACGCTACTTTTGAAAATACTCCAAGAACTTTTCACTTTACTCGACAAAATATCCGTCATTATATCGGGAGTCTGTTTGGGCTTTACGCGTATTTAGCCTTAGCAAACACTTGTCTTGATACTGCTACATCTATTTGGGTGAATCTTCATCACAGACCTTCCATTTTTAAAAGAAAGAAATTATGATGATATCGTGCTTTAGACTTCCAATATTTTCAGACGATCTATTTGTAGGTGATTAAATTGTTGATTTTGTGATCGTTATTATGATTTTTGACTTTTGCTTAGTTTTGATAGCTTCGCTTAAAGACTTTAATCTTATTTTTGCGTAACCGTATATATTTTTTGATCCAAAAACTGTGAATATTGTACCAATTTATTTTTCTTTAAATGTTTGTGCGCTAATGCTACTCAAAGTTGTAAATTGGATGACATGTTTTTTATGAATTCCTCACAAACAGCTTTGTAGTTTTCATGTTATTTTTTTACTTACCTACTCAAGATATTTTGGTCTGTTTCTCTAAAAAGTAAGTTTGAGTCCCAACTTAAGGGCCCTCATCTATTGTTTGCCTCTTGATTACCCACGCTATCTTTATTTTATTTTTATTTTTATATTTTTCTTTTTGGTTTTGCCTCCCAACCAGATTGCTTAACCGCTTTTCATTGAGTTTCCATAATTTTCCGAAGAAGCGTATCAGAAGCACCACATTTCTTCTTAATTTTCCCTTCATTAATTACTCGCTTAACCGCAACTAGTTATTGAAACAACAAACGTTCTAAAAATACGGAGAAAGGGTTCGCAATTTCACTGAAAACTCTTATCATTCTTTACCTTCCTGAATCGCGTATATTTACATAGTTGAGCTGTCACAGTAAAGTCTATCTTATCGTAAGTGAGCATTGGGGTAAGATCGCTTGAAGTACGCTCAAATGAAACGTTCTCCAAATTTTATTTTAATTTTTTAGCACCGCCAATATTTCTTTGGGTCCTAATTCAGCTTACTTTTTCTCCTTTTCTGAATGCAGAGGCTGTAGTTCCGTAGGTATTCGATAACATCCTTCTATTATTATGACCGATCTTGGAAGGTGTTCGAGGAGGAGTTTTTTCCTAAAAGTTTTAGCACTTTTGATCAAAACCGAAAGATTACCTGAAACGTTTAGACAGCGGCCCAGAAAACATATAATGATGCCAAATTCCACTAGAGTAAGTAATACTGCAAAATTAGAAAATTCTTGTAATTCATTTATTCTTGACCTTGAAGTTCGATTTCTTGAATTCCGTGGAGAGAAACCGGATTTCTCGTTTTTTTCCGGAATATTACGTATCTTTTGATGAAAAATAAGCATGACCTAACGCTTAGGCCTCATTCATCCTTAACGCACAGCACCTCGGATCAAAAATATTTCAATTTTTCCTCCTTTTTTTAAAAAATTAATGCGATAAATACATCTTCAAACGAAAGAAAACAAACAGAGGGTATTCCGAAACTTTATAAAACTTCGTTTACTCATTTTAAAAAAATTCCATCGAAGGAATGACTATCAGACGCTTAGGCGCAAGGGTTGTGTTCGTAATCGTTCCTTAAACGTTAAGGTCTCCCCCTTAGCCATAAGAATTACGTTGGCGAGGAGGCTTTAAAGATTGAGAAGAGAGGAGAATATGACCTGCAGGCACAACAATAGCGGAAGGGTAAAAAAGAAGGAAGCAAACAAACACGCAGCACCCCAGTGATATTCTCATGTTAGTTGATACATCATTACACCATTACACAAACAACCTATTTTGTATCTCAATTTAACGATTAATAGATACTGCCATGAACCCCTTTGATATACCTTTCCTATGCTTCGCGCCTGTGCGGAGTTTCTTGTTCAAAACATGTTTAAGGCCCCTCCTTCCAATTCAAACGTACTTACATAAAAAGCACCATCCCACGGTATTTTTAAAATTTTTAGGATTGCGACTGACGCTTTCACTTTTTCCTACCCCTCCGTACAACGGAAGTGATTTCTCGCGTCCCAAATTTCTATTTTGAGGACTTTTTTGTAACGTCTGTATATTTCTGTAATTATTTTGTAAATTCTCTAGCGATAAGTCCTTGTTCCCCTTTTTTCTACATTGTTTGTACATAACCAAAATATTGTGATCAAATAAAATATTTTACTTTTACTTCGATGTTTTGTTCATGAGTCGAACGCAATTTAGCAGAAAGGCACCAACTCACATGTTTAAGAGGTGTGAGTTATAAATCATTTCAAGCTCAAAGAGCACATTCAATTGTCATATTAAAAACCACAACTCACAAATAATTTTCATTATGCCAAATCTTGACTCAAGGCTTATTACTTACAATGAATTTGTTAGAAGAAGAAACTTAAACCGCTTTTTTGATGTTATAATTTGATATCACTTGGTTTCTTTCTCTCAATAGTCCATTTCAACACTTTCCATGAAAAAATCACCCCGAAAATATTTTGCAATTGACTGCTACTTGAGCTGTTTACGACGTAAAACTTAGTAGAGCATGCTTTACGAAATTCATTATGACGCCTGAATGCAACTATTCGGGCTCCAAGGACGTCTGTGTTGCACACGCACGTAAGTGAAGGCGATTTGATTCATAGACACTAACCGCCTGTCGCGATGAAGGGTATGACTATTATTTTAGACGGACTGAAACGTCTAAACAACCTTCATATGCGCACTGAGATTGTGGGAGAGCAAAGAATAAGAAATGTTTGAAGGGCCGAAAAGTTTGTATTAAGTTGAATTTGGAAAGTTATAGAATTTACAACAGAAGAGTCACACTTGTGCCAGAAGGGCCAGAGAGGGCACATCGTACATGTACGGGTCAGATGGTAGAGGACCAAGATTTTGGGGCAGCGCAAGCTTTTACAGTCTTGCTGACGTCACAGGTGGTGAGACAACAAGTCTACACGCTATTGGCTGGCTATAATCAGTGGAGCTATCAGCTGCAAGTTCAGTAATTAAATTAATGGGCGATTGTAGGAAATGGCTGGGTGATAGAAGTAAAAAAGAGAAAAATGGACAAAATCCAGCCATCCCTAATGAGTTAGTGAATATGCATGAGAAATTTATAAGTTTAAGAAAGGAACAAGTTGCAGGTAATTCAATACCTGCGACACCGCCTCACCAGCGGCGCTCTTGCTCCTTGGAGCGAGTCAATAAGACGAGTCATACAAAATATGAAAACATTAAAAGCTCGAATCGATGTTTATACAGAACGTAGAGGTTTTGAAGCGGTTTCATTGATTTTCTCGTAGAATTTCATTTGAGGAGCACCCAATACATTTTATAATGTGAAGAAATTGACATCGAAATTTGCAGTTTTAGTCGAACATTTTACGACCGACCTCTGTTAAAGGCTTGTTTATTGCGCGGTAGGCTTTGCTGTGAGGATCGAAAATGACAGGAGTGCCTCCGATAATACTTAATTTATACCTCGAAGATGTTTCTTGGGCATGCATAGTTACTCTACTAATCACACTCAACACATCACGATATCAAAATTCAAGCACAAATTGCACTCTCGTCTTACGCCTGTATGCAAATATTCGTGCCCAGGAGATGTCTTCGTAGTATAGTTAGCCAGTTAGTTAATTTATTTACATCCTAGGCTATTGACGTCTTTACAAAAAGTATAAACGAACAATTGAAAAGGGTTTTGCCATTTTGGGTCTTAGCGAATAAGTTCGCCGTTGGCACCGCGCCGCGAGCGAAGTGGGGAGTGCCTGGACAGTTAAAACGCCTTCGCTTCCGTGCGTAGGCAACACTGACATCCAAGGAGCCCGAATAGTTGCATCAAGGAGGTAAAATAATTCGTCGCATTCGACACTAACTATAAAGGCGCTTTCCTTGTGTCTATTATGCCGTGCCATAATTCCAGCGTTGCCTAGTGTGCCGATGAAGTACTATCATTGATTTTTATCGCGACATGGTCAATTTCTTGAGTAATGCATTAGTTGTTTGAATATTTGACAGCGTTGCCGTCCCAACCTGTGGGCTGCGGCCCCTGCCCTCTCTGAGCCAAGAACGACGAAAGCGGAAATGCATGCATCTCAACCTATTTTTATTTTTTTTTCGCTGAAGAGTTAGAAAAAAGTCCAGTCAGAAATGCAAATCTACGCATACGGGTATAATTCAGAGCCAGGGGCGGCAAGACCCAAAGCTTGTAGAAAATATGTCTCGCGTTACTGATTGCTTCAGGATCATAGGATCGGAGCATCAATTGACTGAGTTCATAAAAAAACGAATCAATGATGAAGTATTTAAAGTTATAGCCGCCGCACTGTGGATCGAGTCAATTACTGAGGTCAGTTTATTTCGTCACATTAGAAGTTCGAGGGGTGCTTGTAGAAGAAAATTTCTCTTGAAAACCAATGGAACCACTTTTAAAGCCTCAAAGTTTTGTATAAATGGAGTTACAAGCGTTTAAAGATTCCAAATTTTGTCCTACCTCTCCTAAAGACCTGGTGCACTGTGCGACGGGAGCTGGAAGTGAAGGACCACGCAAAGCAGCAAAAAGCAATCCGGAATGCAGCGCTTAGGTTTACGTAAAGGAAACCTATCTTATTTTTCTAATAAAAAATCGAATAATTTCAAAGGTTTGAATCTAATTGAAGTTGGCAAATCCTCAGACGCATCACTAAACTTGAAAACAACTTCTTGAGAGTCGGCCTGGTGGATATCCAGATTTCACGGGTATACAAGAAATTAATTATTAATTTTTAACTCCCCTTGTAGGTAGAGAAAGTATTGTTACCCCTCCCCCCCCCCCGAAAAAAATCGTAATATCCAGGCGTTTTAAGGTGCAGCTGGAGGTCAAAAAACCATATTTGAGAAAATGTGTGTCCGTCCGTCCATATTTATATATATTGGTTCCGACCGTCATTTATGTCAAATGCAGCTTCTTACGAGGTATCGGTCACTAATATTTTCTGTATGGATTTTCCCATACTAGCAAGACGCAAACGCTTATATCGCAAACTATATGTCTCCTTATTCCCCTCTCTAACTCTGCTTACTTGTTCATCCATTACATGGCCACTCGTAAATTGTACTATTCTCATCTCCGTCCTGGTAAAAATTGGCAGTAGAATCTGTGTTCCAAAATACCATAGACCTACAGCCGGCTGCAAGATTTCCAATAGCTTCTATAGCCGGCTACACAATTTCTTATAGCCTTTTATAGCCGATGGCGATTAAGCAACAGCCAGGCGATAAAGTGCATGCTAAACGTTACTAATTACGGATGCTAGGACTTAGTGAGTTTTTGGAATACTGCTCTCTTTTTGGGCCGTAGTATCTTGATTTATTTTGCGAGGAAAGCTCCGTACTTTTGACGGATGCCTGCCATTACTAATATATTAGAGCTCCTTCAGTTTCGTATGATACTGTGCAATACCTCTGGCGTGAAATAGTTGCTTCAAGCGCCGTGGCAGGTGGGCAGCCAGCGCGAAACACGCACCTACAAACCTAACAGGGATACTTTCACGCATTGCGCAACGCGTGAAGTATCCCTGTTAGATTTGTAGGCGCCAGTGCGTCGCCGCTCCGCTTTGTGTTAGGCTCTAATATTTAATCTGGCGGAGTCAGCGTTATTCAACTCATGATTTTAAAATGTTTGCACATCCTGTGTGGATTTCTCATTTTAATTGATGAAAAAAAAAATATGTATTAAAGGAAAATATAATGTGTGTTTTGTAAAAATTAAGGTGGTTCCGTATCAAACTTAATGATTTCCAAAGCACACGAATTTCTACACAATTTCTTATAGCCTTTTATAATCGATGGCGAAAAAGCAACAGCCAGGCGATAAAGTGTAAAGCCCCGCGATAGGAACTATAGCCCGGCTGCATAATGTTTTATCGCTTCGTATAGCCCGGCCGTACGATTTTTCCGCATTCTACAGCCACCTATATGATTTTCTGTAGCCTTCTTTAGCCGGCTATAAGAATTCCTATGGTATTTTGAAACGCAGCTCTTATCGCCAATTTTTACCAGGGTGTTAAGGTAACACGCGTGGCATGCAGGAGCGTTCGGTCGATCGCAAGGTGCTGTAGGGCTACGACGCTGATATAGGGTTGCTTATAAAATCACGGCCGTTCATTCACCGCGTCGTGGCCCATTCATTAATGTTTTCATTCATTCATGGGATCATGGGGGAGTCGAGAATAGGCCCAAGGTCACTCGGCCGCGTAGTAACAGGTGTGCAAGATGGACAGCATCTGGCAATCAGGACCCCTGAGACGGTCCGTGGGAACGTAAGTGACGTCAACACCAGACGCCACGCACCCTCTTAAACATACTACCTCTTGATCACACCATCCGACCAGTGGCGTGGCGTGCTTTGCGATATATCGATTGTTATACCTTTTAAACCTATGGAAAAGGATCGATAAAAAGGGTGTTTGCAGGGAACGCCTTAATCGATTCTTTACCATAGGTTTAAATGGCATAGCAATCGATATATCGCAATTCACGCCACGCTACTGCATCCGACTCCGTTTACAACTGATTTTATTATGAGGAAGGAAACCTGTAACTCCTTAAGGATGAGGCTTTCCGCATCGCAAAATTTGTTGCGTCTTCTACAGGAACTCGTCGACCGGTGAGAAAGCATGACCAAATAGGTCCGTTGCGTTGATTATGTAATCGCGCTTTAATTGTTAATTTTTTAATGGACCACTAGACAAGGTACGAATTTAAGCATTCTGATACATGTATCTTAACCAAAATTTCACGTAGAACACGATTCGCGCAACGAAAATTACTGAAACCAACTCCTAACGAAGCTATTAACATTTTTATTTCACATTGGTTACGAGGAATTTGAACTGCCCGCTCACAAGAAACTCAAAGCTCTACGTAAGTCAAATCACGCACTACAACGGTTTCAGCAATCTTCTCAATCGAGCAATGTTCATTTCCCACCATGTGTTTTTCAAACTATAAGTAATTTGCTATAGCTGAGCCAAAGTGTCAAGATTGAGGTTGCCAGATTTTTTCATCGCAGAGACGTTCATGATAACGTTTACGAGCGATGTGAATCACGTAGAGCATTGAGTTTTCATGAGCGGGTGGTTTGAATTTACGCACCAAGAATCATTGGATATCTTCGTTAGGAGTTGATATCGGTAATTTTCGTTGTGCGCATCGTGTTCTACGTAAAATTTTGGTTAAGAAACATGTATGAGAATGCTGAAATCCGTACCTTGTCTAGTGGTCCATTGCCAAAAAAGCACCGAGTGCTCTGTAATGGTGGTCTCACCCTTAAGCTTCTCGACTTAGATCCAAGCGGGGCGACTCAATTGATTTTTCGGCCATCCGTGCGTCTCTCTCTGCTTTCACTTTTCTTTGGTTCTTTGGTTCTTGAAAGGACTTCGAGTCTCACCGGTCAATCAGTGATTTTCTTTTTCTTTTTCTTTCACAAAGGCAAAATTGAACCCACGTCAGTACTGATTCCATAGTTCACTTCAGGCATTCAAAGTGTTCAGTTCTTTTGATATCAGGTCTTAAAGTTTTATCGTAAAGTTTAGTTTTGAAAAAATCTCATTTCATGTGACAAATGTTATTTTTCATAACAGCCCATGACAAATTTTTAAACAACCGCAATAGCTCTGAGATTATGAAAGAGAAAACTCTTGCTTTAACTAATCCGAGTAAGAGCGGAAATAGCATGGAATTACTCGAATTGGAGGCAAAATTTTAAAAAAAAATCGGGTGGCCCCCCGAACCCCCTCCTACTGAGAGGGGCGGTTCCCCTAGACCCCCCTTAGATAGTTTGCGGAAAGGGGGCCCGGGGGCCCGCCGGCTGATCCAGCCCTGGGGCCCACCGATAGATGTGGGGGGCCTGGCAGTGACGTGGCGTGATTTGCGATATTTCGATTGATGAGCCACTCAAACCTATGAAAAAAGATCGATTATCAGGGTGTTCGCAGCGAACACCTTAGAAATCGATTCTTTACCATAGCTTCAAATGGCGAGATATCGATAATCGATC